CTGGCGACGTGGGTGCCCTTCGGGGTCTCGATCTTCGGCCAGTTAGCAATAAAAAGCATAGTTGGATTGCTACAAACCTTCCAGAAACTGAGAGGGTTTGCAAAAGGCGGGGTCTATGATCATTGCGGGGCTTCAGCTGCTGTCATGGCATGACAACCGCATTTCAGCCCCCAGAAGGACTCTGAGAGCTTTTTCGCAGTAGATTAAATTCTATCACGACCTGAACAGACATGGCCATGTGCTCTGTACAAATTGACACTAAGAAGAGACGTAGGACAGTGCGAAAAACGAATCTCTCCTGATTTTTAGTGAGCCAGAGCAGGTCGTCCTCAGCGTGGTAGCGCTTTACCCTTTTGCCGCTGTGGGGTCGGGCATTATTGGAGAATGCATGGGCGCCAAATGCCTAGACTTTCTATGGTTATGGTGAAGAGTGCGAGTCATCATAGACATGAGCGGTTGCTCTGCGGTGAATCTTTGAGTTGCCGTGAGAGCGTGTCGGCGACCACGTTGTTAATGCCCTCACTGCAATTCACTGTAAAAGCGTACTTGTACTGAGGCAAGATAAGCATTCCCTAGTACACCTTTTATATTTGAATGAGAGTCAGTAAAGACTAAAGTTATTGGTTCGATTCTTTTCAATTCGTTTGCGTTGCAGCCTACTGTGTCCTCGATAGACAAAACGCTGCTCACTCCCTGACGATTGAAGTTGACTGTGCATACTAGAACAGTATGACGAATGTAAGGAACGCCAAGTACTTGAAGATGTAATAATTGGGTTGGAGGTGTGCCCCAAGCTGGACCCCAAAACTAACCCGAAAAGGTGCTCTTTGTGACAGGCTCTTTGAATTTAGAAGCACTTTAACAGTGCCTCCACCAATGACGCGGAGGTCGTCCTCCTGTAGGGATTCCTACACTTGAAGCCTTCTTACAGGGCACGAGTCACCGGCTTATGTGCGGTTCAGCTCAAAAGCAAGCTTTGAGAGAATTGACAAAGCTATTTTACAAGAAACTAGCAAAAGACTGATAGAGCGAGAAACATGAAAGTTTCGTTTGTAAAGGCTACAACGCAAATGAGCAACTGCGTTATGAGTGGCTTATCTTAGATCGTTCAGACGTTTTGCGTTAGGTGGTCGCAGATTGGCCAGTGCCTCAGCCGCTCAATGAGGTGAAGACGACTCTCTATGCAGTTCGCTCGGCAGCGCTATCCGAAAAGATGACACTGGAAACGCATCCCCTATCACTGACTTTGCAGTCAGCTAGAATTTAAGAATGCAGCTGATGCTCAAACAAGAAACAGCAGGAGTAGCAAATTTGGGCACGAGTTCTCGGATGTAGTGAATGAGGAGGTGTTAGCAGGCTGGGCACCTGCTGGCAGGCCAGCACACCGTATTAAGCTAATTCTTGGATTGGTTCCAAGCCATGAGGCAGAGCATGTGACGTCCACACAGCATAAAGAAGAGCTTAAGCGGCAACAAGACAAAGTGTTGACGAATGCACAGTTTAGGAATTGATCGGCATCACTGGTTGCTACCCGGTTTCGGTGCAAAACAAGTAGGCAGGTGGCTACGTGCAATTGCACTGGGGCTTTCAGAAATTGCTGTAGAGCAGAAGTTACCGATGCCGCATAATGGCGAACACTTGATAAGCTACACGGATAAACAGTGTACTCGACCATTGACTTTGCAAACATCCTCTGCAGTCACTCAGATGACCAGCACAAAGCGGCGTTCCACAAATGCACGTGTAGATTGGAGTACACGAGTATGCCGTTTGCACTTGTCAGTGCCTTGGCTGAGGTGCAGCGGCAACTTTATCGGATTCTCGTAAGCCTGGAAGGAGGGGTTGACGAGATTTGTAGATGGACTAAGTTGTATGTACCCAAGAGGCTTATGAGCACCCACAGTACTTGCGGCATGTGCTCAGCTGTTGCGCGACAAACAGTTCTATGTAACCATTTTTGATGGGAACAAAATGGGTTTTGTAGAGTGAGTGTTTCAACAGCGGGATTCGTGCCAAATCCGGCAAAGCTTTGAAACAGCCAAGAATAGCCTTTCCTGTTACTTACCCATAGACCTGTTGAGAGGCCCTATGGGCCTGCATCATATTGTCGAGATTTAAGTCCTGCGGACGCAGAAATATGCTTTTTAAACTGATCTTCAATCGAAAATAATGTGCCAACTGGACAGAAGAGACTCACGCGGAGGCAAGGACGCTTACCTGCCGCCCTACAATCCCTCTAGTACTCGCGCTGTCCGACTCGGACTGTCGTTTCTTCGTTCCAACCAATGCTAATGACGGAGCCCTGTAGAAGCTGCTCTCTCTCAATAGACTTGGGGCTCTCCAAAGAATAGAACAACTTTTTTGTTCTCAGCGCTACCCGGAATACGAGTAGCAGCATCCAGTGCGGGTACAAGAAACTATGCGGTGTGGTGGGGCATGGGAAAATGCCGGCACTGTTTATGCAAACGTCGCTTTACTGTGCAGATTAACCAGCAGTCAGTTTTGTACCTCCTAAACAACTTTTAGGATCTCGATAATTTGGGACCGTTGGGTGGGTTGAGCGCCTTCGGCCGTACGCCTTTACAGTGAAATGTATCAAGGCCAGCTGCTCTGGAATGCGTCACGGTTTCTGCCGAACGTCGCCCGTATCGTATGCTTTTAAAGCAATGCATTCCCTATTATTGCCAGTACCCATACTGGCAGAATGGTGAACCATTACCACGTGTGTGCAGCTGTGGCTCAATACAACAAGGGGACTCTGTCACTTGTGCATTTTTCTTCGCTCCGCAGTTCCAGATTGCTCTGATGAACAACCTTTTGCAGGTTTCATGATCGATTAGGATGAATTTCGCGGCTAAGGTGCATTGAGTGCCATGCCCAGAGTGTCAACAGCTGAAGAAGCGGAGTTCTCATGATCCTCTCATTTTGCAAAGCCTCCCGGTTTTTTAATGAATTGCACTGACTTGGCTAGGGGCTTCATTGTTGGACTGTCAGGGGTCAAAGGACATGATAACACGAAAACACGGGATCAATATAACCGACCGCACTCTGAGTTCCAAGACTAAAGATTCGTTCCTGGCAGATCGACAGGCTGTACGAGGTGCACCGGAGTGCGATCAGATGAAAAAGTTTGCCATCCGGTGGTTTTGGCCATTTGCAAATCTTTGACAGCTCAATGCTTTTTTTAGTTTGTCGCCACCACCAAACATTGAGAATAACACAAACTAATACTGGTTGTCAAAGAAGTCTGAAAGTTACTAAATTATTTGCAACTTTGGCGAACAGACAAGTCACCCGTGTGGAGGCTCTCGTCCCAAAGGAAACCATGTACACACTGATTTATAGAATATTTAGCGCTGGAGATGGATACTTCTTTCTTGTTCTTGAAGTGGTTGGCCTTGAAGTACAGATGCAAAGCATGAGGCCATGTTCTTTGGATATGAAGATACTGTGGCTCAGCTACACTTCAACAATTCCTACTACCGTTGCACTCAATGAAGGATTGGAAAGCCGATAATCAATTAGCTCGGCTGTCTTGCAGAGTAACACAAGCTCGATATAAGGATCCATCGCTGTGTGCGTGAGGCTACATGCCATGTTCAGGTACCTATGAATGCATGGAGTGCTTAGAAGATGCAGCAAAGCGCATCCTCGCTTGTCACTGTACCCTCAGATCGAGAGCCCCGGGAGATGAAGGCAGGGAATGGGTAGTCTTTTAGGATGAACGCTCGAAACTTACGAGTAAGGCTGTATTGAGCCTGAAGTGAAGTAACTCCCGACTGGGACACATAGACTGCACAGTGGCTCCGATTCCTTGCTGCGCATTCGTTTTCGCATCAAGTAAAAACTAGGGGCAAGGTAGAAAGGTTCTTCATTTAGGAGTCTCTTATTTGCTGCTTCGCATTGAAGCTTATGCGTAGCGTTCCATCTATCGACTCCCTGCAGGGAGCACTTAAAGCGAAAATCTAATCCAAAAACTGTGAGGTTATCATGAATGCTTAAAATAAAGCTTCTATTTCCTCTGCCCTACCACACAGGGCACCACCGTGTGGGAGAAGGGGGAGCTAAGTCGCACGTTGCTTCAACCTTTAAAAACTGATCATTCATGCCCAGTTGTCCAGAGCTGATCGAGCACATACGCATGTTAGCTGTTGTTGTATTAACCTAGTTCTAGGCTCAAACAAAAACCATGTACGAGCAGCCAAACAAAACAATCAACCAGTATACATTCCTTGATTATTTATAACCACTGAAAGTGCTGACTTGTAGCTTGCTCCTCTGCATACTGCTGGAGTCTGCTCTATCGGCTAATGAAACCCGCCCGTCAGATAGCTCTACCAAAAATCGGGTCTCTATCCTTACTTACAATGTGAAACTGCACTGGAATTATATGTTTGGTCATGGGGTCAGCATCTGTATATCTTGTTTTTTCCTCTCACTTTGCTTCACTATCAAGGGTTTGCTTCTTCGAGGGAAGAGAAAGGCACACATCGACAAACAGGCCCCCAAGAACGCCGCCTTACCGCGCCTTACGAGACAACTTTTACCTCTGAAGAAGAATTTGCATGCAAAGGAGAATTCAGATCTTCGTTCCGGTGCTTTGTCCCAACAATGCTCGATACTGCTACCCTCCTTGGCATTTGAGGTATCACATGCCATAGAAATATTCTCAACTTTGGCCACATATATTACGCGGAAATATTACATTTCAAGAATATTGTAATTTATATGACCAAAATTGGGAGATTGGTACCCACACACGGCGAAGAGGACTGGTTGCCCAGCGGCTGCTGGCACTTCCCCCTCGTCTCTCCTCTTGTTTCTCTTCATTAAAACACACGGGAAATCACCAAGTTTTGGATCAGCAAACAAATATTAATTTATAACTTCTATCTATTCAACAATCCCGGTTGGTCACACTTGCTGGTTCCCACTGCTTTCTTCCAATACAATTCCTTGAATGAGGATGGATAGACCCGAGTTGCCTTCTACTCGTGGTAAGGGCGTTAAGGACAAACAAAGCCTGCTTCCATAACACTGCAGCACTATGGGCATTTAGAAGTACAGAAGTCTTACCAGGAGGCCGTCTAGACATGACAGTCTGCACGGGATAATCACATTCACTTTTTCCTGAATGTTTTGTCTGATCTATTCCTGTATTTTTGTCTGTGTGTGTGCTGTCACCGTTTCACTCCTTCTCTCCACTTTTTGTTTTTGTTTAGACTCTGTTGCTTCGCATCCCGAGTTCTCCTTCAACTGCAGGGAGGAGCTGGAGGGTCACGTGGCCTGTGTGAAGCTGTTCCTGGAACAACACGTGGTGCATGGCGAACCATACGTTCCTGGAAGCGAAGATGACAGAGACCGATGCCGCTCTACCCGATCACTCTATATGGTGAGGCTTAGTCTCCATACCATGTAAGATGATTGCCCACAGTAGACCGCGGAGGCGCAGCTCTTCCCTGTGTAGTTGATTGATTCTTATTCGCAATTAGCAGGGTACCATGGTGCTGTTTGCACTCAGAGGTGCATGAAATACAGGAAGACCTTTCCACCAGACGGAGACCGTGTTGCCCATTTGATGTCTCAGCCAGTGGTAAGCAAACGCCCTTCCAAACGCATCTGTTCCAGTGTGCTAGTTTCCCAGAAAATTGCAGAAGCCTGACAAAAAGCGTAGTGGAAGCGACTGGCTGCACAATTACAGAGGGGCACTTTGCTGTGTTTGCGATTTCCATTCAGAGTGGACCCAAAGCGTGCGAAATGGAACTGGCCATGCATGGGAACTGCGTGGCAATTCAGCTTGAACGTGCCCAAAAGCTGGGCGAGAAGTACTGGACTCAGGGAGGTGAAGATCGATGTATGATGACGCGCGCGAATTACGAGGTAAGGCATAGTCAAGAATGAAGAAGTACGCTGACTTTCATCATATAGTTCACAGGAAACGTGGGGCAAGCCGTGTTCTTGAAACTGAAAGGTTTCAGTATGTAAAGTAATTGTAAGGTGCCATAGAATATGGTGTGGGTGCAGAGGTGCATGTACGGCACGAAGCTTGGACTAACGGATCGCTGGGGCGGCGAGCGGCTAAGTGAACAACTAGAAAAGAATATTTCGCATTTGCAAGTTCGCCTTGATCACAAGTAAAGCACTTCTGATTCTGAGCCGAATTTTAACCAGAACAGCCATATATAACGAACAGATTCCGTATACTCGACACTCACTCCATGCCTGTTTTCTATGTTTAGCAAACATCTTTGTATTTTGTGCCCGTGGATGGGTGCACGGCGTAATCTGTCTGGCGGGGCATTCACTTTGCACGGCCAGATATGCACTGGGAACTAAAAGGTGGCAGTGAAGAGCTCTCACTTTTTGCCACTGTCGGAAGCTATTGAGTTCAATTTTACCAGGAACGACATTCATGCCTTGGCAGTTATTTGTACTGCATTATCTTAATAGGAATTTTCCCGACGAGTTTATCACATGCCCCGTCGCAGAAATAGAAGACTCATAGACATTTTCCCCGTCAAACACAATGTGCGGTATAGAAGGTTCTTCATTCGTTTCCTGTTTCCCAGTGTCTCTGAGGCAACGGGAAATATGCTCGCAATCCGAAACACGCCAGCTGCTTTTGAGGATTTAATAGGGGGAGAGAAGCCAAATTGGGAAGCACACTTTGATTTTTAGCCGAGATTTTTGGATGCCCTTGGAGTTATTGGTTTTTTGAGCTGCCACGCCTTCGTGGCAACAGATGTCAAAATGTACCGCAAGTGGAAGAACTGTTAAACTCAGGCCCGCCAAATTGCTCACTTGGGCGCTACATGCAGATAAATCCAATTACTACGTAGCTCGGTCGGGTCTACTGAATATGGGCACTATGGCCCAAAGGCACTTGTGCCGTATCATGCCGGCAGGGTGGCCAAAAGAGAGGCAGGGCGTTGTGCAGGCGGACGAAGGCCCACAACTGAACTACCGCCTGCAGCTTCAAAAGTGTGGAGTTTGTTTTGAAAGAACCGCAAATAGCTGAGATGGTGGTGGGCTAACGCCAGACCCTTGACTCTCCTCCCCAACAGTCATAACAGGCACACTAGTATTTGTATTCGCGAGACCCACTTGACGGGTTAGGGATAAAAGGCCGGGACTACAGCTCCCTGTCTCCGAGAAAAAGAGATGGGAAACTACGGCACGCCAGCAGCAAGAGCAGCACCAAAGCAAACAACCAGAAGTTTGTCTGCATATCTTGCGGCAGCATGAAGCGTGAGAGGGCCGAGGGAGACGCGGTGCTGCAACGCAGAGCACGGACATCCTGACAGCACCGAGTTTGAAGATTTCGCCCGTCGGGGTTGAACTACAGATGCCTATTTTGTGAAATAAAGTAGGCTTCCGAATGAATAAGTTTCCCCAATTCCCGTAGGCTTAGCAGCTGACAAAGCACCGTGGGAACGGAGAGAAAATTCAACTTCTACAAACCTCAAATTCAAAATGTTCATCCAATGTGCGTCAACAAAAAGCTTGGTAACGCTCAGCAGTCGACTTAAAGTGTCTGCAGCCCAGGATGCGCATACACCGTGAATTCGGACGCAGAAATGAGGCTCCGAGGTGCTGTTCCTACTTCAGCAAGTCCATTAGGAAGTAAGAGGAGACAGCTATCTGCTAGCATTTTGTGCTCTCAGATGGCTCACCCGTTGAGAGGTACCACTGCCACCTCGTCACAGGACTTGTTGCCACTACGACCTTGCAGAAGAAGAAAGAGAAAGCTACCAACTGGTCCGCCGTCATCTGCACATACAAACCGTAGAGCCCGATTCCTTAATCGTACAGAGAAATTCTACAGAGTAACGATTTGACTTTCAGGGATGTTCAAGAAGGCCAGAAGCGGGGGGGAACAATGCTGCAACCTGTGGCCAAGCCTAGACCTTGTGTTTGCATGGTACAGCTACAGGGGTGTTCAGACGCAGCAGTATTTCCAAGATCCTTTAATACGAGTCCTAAAGTCATGCGCGCTTAATCCTGGATTTACCCGTTCTGGCATAGTCGGCACTCTGCCATACTTCGCTGAGAAGAGGCGCTGCGCAACAGTACCTCCCTGGGCGAGTTGCCTGCATCCACACCAGTGGGAAAAATAAAGAAGGCAACGCGTTATAGAGGAACAGAAGGAATGACAACTAAAGCAGTCAACAGTCAGTGTGAGCAGCCAGCTGCGGATGTGCTGCACGGCCTCAGCAATAAAAACCTGCACAAAGCAGTGTCACTGCCAGTGTAATCTCCAGTGAGTGGGCCCCTGAAGACTCTACGTAAGCCTCCCGGCCAGAATCTCTGACTGACAGCTCTTGTACTACGGCAAAATTCTCGAACAACTTTGATGATCTGGATCAGCAACACTACCTTATAGGCACAGCAGACGAACGAAATATACTCCTCACCTGCTTAGCCCCTCTGTACAAATCTCGCACAATCTGCGGGCCGCCGCTAGTCTAATATCCAACGAAAGGGTCCCTGAAGACCCTGCAGAATCCTCCCCGCCATGATCCCTCATTAACAGTGCTTTCACCGAGGCAAATTCATCAGACAGATTTGATGATCTGGATAGAGGATTTCGTGACCACTCCTCTGCTGTTGCTCGAGCATAGTGGAGCTCCTGGTGCTGGGCCTCCTCACTATCGTTGGCTGTTGCAGTTGCTGCGTGTGGTGCTGCTGGTGTCGCTGCTTGACCAGCTGAGTGCGGCGGAGGGATGAGAGGGGCGTCTACAACGGGGTAGCAAGCCCCCACGCTGAAATCAGGTGAGGCAACGGCTGCTGCAAGTAGCGTTTCAAGCGGCTGCTGCTGCTGCTGCTCATCCTGTGGCAGCATGATGTCAACAAGCCTAAACCGGTTCTTGCAGACGCACCGAATAAGACAGGCTCCAATAGCCCTTTCATCAAGATTCGGTGGGGCCAGCGAGTGTTGCTCGATCTCAACGCAGCACCCAAACACACCGACATCCTCCGATGCGTCGAGTTCTTCAACCCTGGATGCAGCTGCCGGCGATGCTCCTGCTGCTCCTGAAAACTCTGTCGCCCCCCTGTTGCGCCCTGGAGTTTGAGGCAGACGGATTCCCACCGCCGCTTGCTCCACAGGAGGCAGGATTATGCCAAAGTGGTGAGATCCCTGGCACAGCACACCGTAAAACACGAAACTGCTAGCTCTAAACCATCGATATCTATCACAAGTTACACCAAAGATCGACGATATCAGCAGTAAAGGCAACAAAAGGCTGCGGCACTGACCTGCAGTGCAAGCTGCACGAGGTGTATGTACCGCTGCTCGTGTATGTGCAGCACCATCTTCTCCCCCGGCATGAGTGGACAGGTCTGAAGGGCTCCGGGGCCCCTGTACACTTGCTGCTGCCTCATTTGACGTTGAAGCTGTTCACCCATCGCGAAGAAGAGAGGAAGCATCTGCATCTGCTGCTGCTGCTGGTCAGCTTCTCCTTCAGTCCTAGTGGATTCGTTAGCAGCTGTTCTAACAGCATCAGCAGCAGCGTCCGCCAATCTCTTCGCCATCATCTGTGGATACTGAGCCTCAAGTAGCTGCTGAAGCAGTGTGTTAACTCGAAGGGTTGTTCTTCCTCCGTGGCCGCCTGGTGCCCCCTCAGGTAACGTGCAGTACAGCAGAGGGGCTCGACACAGCGGACACATTGGCCGGTAGATCAGTGCCTGCAGCATCAGCGACAACAGCTTAAAATTGCGCCGTGGCAATATATGGGAAAGCCAGAAGAACGGAATACCACGTTCACGTTTGTTGCAGTGAATAAAAGGCCTGAAAAAGTAGCAGCAGCAGCACTCGCAACAGGAGCGGCTGGTCCATCGACCTAACCACAGCACCAGCAATACCAGCGGCAGCGGTACCTGCTCAATGCACGACCGGCAGAAGTTGTGGCCGCAAGGAGTCGTTACGGGAAGCATGAGAATCTTCATACAAATCGAGCACTCAAATTCAGGAGGCACTGCTTCCCCTTCTGTGACTCCCTCTCCTTCTGCAGCAGCTGTTGCTGCGGCTTCAGGTGGTGCCACTGCAGGCGAAGACAAAGCTGCACTGCCCACTGACGAATCCGGCCTTGCCTCTGTCATCCTGCTTAGCCTCAGGCTGCCGGCGCCTCACTCGTTGGATGTAACGGTTCCTGTTGATGGTGCTACTACTGTGGCTGCAGCAGTGTTGTTGCCGCCCTATGGCTGTCGCTGTTTCTGTCACCGTTGCTTTTTCTGCGGTGTCTGTTGTTTCTGTGTGGATGATTCTGCTGAGGAGGCTGACAGTGGTACTTGTGCAAATGCTGGAACTTGTGTTCGTCTTGCTGCGGTTCTCATATGTTTTCCGCTCTCCTCAGTCACGGAGCTGCGAAGCCCCACGATACTCTGAGTCTTGAGAATTAGCACCGGGAAATGACGCAATGTCAGCCGTTGCCATCGGAGTGCTTGAGAAGGAACTACTGGTAGATAGTGACGTAAGGGGAACACTTGGACGGAAAGGGAGGCCGAAGCCTAAATCCTATACAAATGTCTTAATACGCAAGTGTCTGGCCGTTGTGTACTTGTACAACACTAAAAAGAGATTTCATATCTCAGCCAGAGTGCGCGGGAGCATGGGAAACCCTTGTTCTACACCAATAGTAGCCGGTGCTGCTGTTGTACTGCTGCTGCTACTGCGGTCGCAAAGAGGCCCAGCAGCACCACAGCAGCGGCAGCGGCAACAACCCCATGGGAAGAATCTTCTTATCGTTATGTAATAAGAAAATGAGCTGAGCTTCCGGGCTGACAGAAAGGAGCAAATGTTTTGGGATTTTTCTCCGCAGGACACGTAGGCGGTCAGCTGCCCGTTGAGGCCTGGCGCAAGCTCGAGATGAAGAGGCACGGCGACCGGCAACAAAAGGCAGCTGTTGCAGACTGAAATAACAATCTTGTGCACCTGCTATCTCGTGCAAAATTAATACAGGGACGGGGGCCTCAGTGGAGGTACATTTAAGATTCAAACTTCCAGTATTCTCGTGCTGCTGCCTAGAGCTCCATCCTTTGGGCCCATACACACTCTGTGTTCGCTTACTGTCGGATCCAATTAAAGGCGGGGGAAGGAAAGAAAGGAGGATACGTGGTCAGGGAGAGCTCCTTCATCCACTTAGAAGGTGACCACTGGTCTGCCATCTGCTGCAACAAGCGCCGTGTCGCTGCAGCACCTACACCATTACCATGAATGAAAGAAGATTGCCTTCCATCCATGACAGCCCTCCACATAACTAGCAGGAGCCGCATCCGGAAGGGTAGACATTTTTGTACCAGCGGCTGCATCATCTACAACAGCCCTGCTCACCTTCTGCAATGCACCTGCGTGCTCTAGCAGATTACCCCTGCTTTCGGATAGCCTCTCTCTACCGTCTTCCGACATTTTTCGTGTATTAGTTTTTCTGAATACTTATTAGTACCATGGAGAGGGAGAGGAGCTTCCAGCCCGAGGTGGGAGTCTTCCAGAGACCCCTTCCGCCTCGTCTGCGGTCTGCAGATATATTTCAGCCAAATCTTTTGAGACAGAGGGCTGCGCAAGTAGCAGCTTCAGCTTTAGGGGGTAAGGGGAAGAATCATCCTGGTAACGACTTGGAGGAATTCATCGAGTCTTTATTACGCCGTCCGCGCGTACCCGCCCCTCCCAAAAAGGGCCCTCTCGTCGTTGGCGTCAGGAACAAGTGTGGAAGTGGCGAATCAAGCTCTGGATCTCGTGTCATGCGCACCAGGTGCCGAACGGTTCTCCAGGTTTATGCGCTCCTCGATCCCTTGGGAGCCGGGTATGTGGACCCTGAAACTGCATGTGGATGCATTGCAGCAGCGAAGAGAGATAGCGAAGAATTGGGCGTTATCTTGCTGCATGTTCTAGAGGACATGCTTCCTTTTGTTTCTTCAAGGTAAGGAAATTAGAAGGTCAATACATTACATAGGAGCAACGGAAAGTGTCCCACAAAGTGAGCGTTTCTGCAGCGATAGGGCGAACCCTTTTGCATTCCAGGCTCAGGAAAGTTCCCCGCTTTTGGGGAAGTTTCCATGCACAGTGGTAGGCTGAACGACGGGCGTTAAAGCAAAAAGCTTTGTTGATGCTTTGCTGAATGCACAGTTCGCTTCTCGTTGTAGACGTCGAGCTGTGCCCCGTTTTACACCAGTAGGATTTTCCGTGTAGGCATTAATTTGCAAGGCTTGAGGATGGTGAGCAACACACCTAGCTCGGTAGTCCGTTGGCCTGCCTGTGTTTTTTATCAGGGGCGTCATAGAAAAGAGCGTGTTTTTGAAAGCTTTACGGGAGTGGATAGAGGTAGACGCTAGCGGGACGGGCCCCTACTACGCCCTACGGCTGTCAACTAACCCAGTGTCTACTGCGTACAAAGAAGGACTGCCCTGTACCAACCCGGCAGGCAGAAGCTTTTATAGAGGAACCTACATCCCACAGGGCCTAGAGGACAAGCTGCAGCAACTGGAGGCAGAAAATAGACACCCATCCAAACTGATGCATCACCTAGCACCCAACTCAGGACAACGCATCAGAGTGGGTACATTAGGAACCAAAACAAAATTTAGACGCAAGAATATGTCAGAAGCTTGGTCTCGAGCTGAAAGGGACGTGTAGGCCTCTCTCCCTGACGAAGGAAACCATCCTACTATTTTTCGTGTGCTTGTTCGTGCTGGCGCTTCCCAATCTGCTTTATACCGATGACTTATTCTGTGCCTTTTAGGCCATGGCACCTGGAAACCTGGAGGCCCACATAAAGGAAACAGCCATCCGTAGAGAAAAACGAATTTTTGCTCTCAAGGATGCTCTCAACAAGAGGGAGCTTGGTGAGTTTCACACATAGCAAAGAGCGCAGAGATACCTCAGCTGCGTTTGGTTCCCCTCATGCTTGAGAACAGAAAGAAAAGTGAGGGAGATTGACGGTCTGCCTTTGCAGGCACATCACGCCTCTGTGCGTGCAGTTTTGCTTACTTGGTTCTCCTAATGCTTCTTAGTGTTCCGCTTGCTGGATTACGCACATGTTGAGCTGGTATTTTTTTGTCTTCGATTGTCTGTTTCTCCCTTGCTTCTTTTGTGTCTGCATTACGTGCTGCGATTTTTCTCCCGTTGCATGGGCTCACAGAACCCGAGATGTGGCGTCTTCTCACTTGATCCACGCGCTTAGTCGTACTTCTTTGTTTTAACGTACGTGCTTGCGACAGAGGAATGCACCTTCAAGCCTCAAAAGACGCAGATGCCTTCATTTGGTCGTCTCTTTCCAAACCGTCGGAAGATCATAGATCAATGCCAGGCAAGTCAAAAACTCAACCGTGCTACTCCCTCCCGAAACCTGCCAGAGCCATATGCCTTCCACTGGATCACACCTGCCGAATTTGGGTGGAAGGAAGCTTGTGGGGATTTTCGGCTTTGTGGTTTTTAGGGGAGTACAGAGGGGTCCTCGAGAGCGGCTTTGCTTAGTCGTGTGCGGCGTGAAGAAACAGAACTTCTGCGGGAATTGGCGCTGCCGCCAGACGAACCCTTTTCGGAACACAAAAAGCAACCAAAGGAGCTCCATCGGAAGGGCGAGGATGAAGCAGGTGCCCAGGGAGAAAAGGAAAAAGCTGAAGAGGATAGCACTGAACAGAAACGAACCGAAACGGCAGTCGATAGGAAGACACCGAAAAAGCGCGAGAAGCCCTTAGGTATTTGTGCCTGGAAGTGCTCCTTGTTGCTTTGCTTGTGTCTCTTGGACACAGGCCCCTGTTGCTGCCTGCGTGTCCTTTGCCTCAGCATGCCTATTCGTAACTTTCGTGTGTTTATGCCTTGTGGCGACAGACTTGGGGCCCATTCGGCAATTCGACTTTTGGGTCATGCAAGAGGGTCAACCACGTGTGCGGCCGCTGGAACTGCGAGAGACTCTGCGGGCAAGCCCTCTGCCTCAAGTGCCTTTGGATGGACTATCTCCTGAGACCCCCAAGTTCCCGGTAGCCAAGACAAGGGGTAGCAGATTCCACGATGAGGAAATGGGACGATTTCCCTCTCCAGCCGGGGAATGCAGTCGCACTTCAGTGGGGACTCTGTCGGGATCTTCTCCCTATGCACTGCCCAGTTTACCAGACTTATTCCCTCACTTGGCTGAGAAACAGCACCACCAACACCAGTACCACAAAGCGCATCCTCCGCTCACCCCTGGCCTCCCCTCCACTTTCAAAAGTGGCTTTTACCGGGAGAGGATGAGGGAAAGCAGCGAGGAGAGGAGAATGCGCCTAGGGCAGGCGAAGGTAACTCAGCCGGAGCCAGCTGTAGCAGCAGCAGCAGCAGAACTTAGGGTACTACACATGAAAAACTTGATGAGAAACCGTGCTACGAGATACCAGGGGGGCCCTGAGGATCCCCTTCTGTGGGATACAAACACCAGTGACTTCAAAAGGGGCCTCCTACAGTCCCCGAAAAGGCAGCTCACTCCTCCGCGAGCAATGCGGAGGAGGGCTCAAATCTCTCACCCTTGGTAAACTGTACATCCCAGGTGTACGTACACCTGAGATGCAGCAAAAAAGGGGAAGTAAGCTTTTCAAAAGCCCCCTTTGTGTCAGGAAAGTGAACATGCGGCCCTGTGAACTGAGAGGCATGCTGTTTCCATATTGAGCCGCTGGTACGAAATGTTGGCTGCCTTGGCTCCCCGAGAAACTACGTGCGTATACACCCAAGCACGAGCCGCACAAGGCCTGCACGCACTGTTTCCCTTACCCCCAAATCGACAAACTGGTCAGACACCTGAGCTATATGGTTCCCAAGAGATATCAACTGGCCCAAACCCTGGTGATCCTAATGCGAGAACTGCAGTTTACGTCGAACCGTACTTCCCGCGGCTATGCATGGGCCTCCAGGTATATGGGCACGGAAACGAACTGAAATAAGAAATGGAATTGCTGCTGCATTCCGTCAAGGGGAATCATTCATTCCTCATCCTCATCGTTTTCCGACTCGCTGTCATTTAGCTCGTCACTCAGTCCGTCTTCATCCTCACTTAGAGCATCCCCCAGGAAGAAAGCAACAGGAGAGTGCCATATTTCCCGTCTTATTACCTCCCCGACATCAGGGCGGGACTCGGGCCAAGGATCTTTTGTGAACCACTCAAACAAAGACCATGACGCAGTGTCCTCTTCCCCCCCCTTCTCCCTTTCCGCTAGTACGACAGCAACAGGGTTCTTCTCCTTGTCCGTCCAGCAAATCTCAGTTGCCTCTACGACCTCCTCGTCTGCAGGGCCGGGCGGTCCAAACCGCACCTCCTTCACCAACTCCAGCGGTGAGAAGTGTTCCTTAGCCCCCTCAGCAAATACCTAAAACACGCAGAAACGCAACTTCACGGTGAATGACACTGCATACCCGATCGGGCAAAACGATGCAATACAAAAATGGCAACTCAATGCTTCACTTCTGAAATGGGCAGGAAGCAACATGGAAGTGAAAGAAAGATTTTAACCCACAAACTTGATCCTGTAAGAGCCTGAATCGTCTAAATTGTCATCAAGCTGAATGCTCTTGAGGTGTTGGAGCACGGGCTCGTCTGCCTCCGACATGAGGGCGAACATATGGTGATTGCGAATAGCAGTTGCCCAGAAGCCAGGAATTTTGTCCAGGACGGATTGCCGCTTTTCAAGAATAGGCTTCTTCGATAGATCGAACTCCTTCTGTACTTCCATCTGCTTCCTAGCGCACTGCTCATCCAGGTCCTGCAGCGCCCGTTGTATCTCCTCCAAGTCCTCCATGAAGGGCTTTAGCAACTCCTCGGCATCAGACTCGTCTCTGCCAGAATAGCTGCCATCTACCTTCCTCTGCTTGGCTTCCGCCTCCTCCGTAGTTGCGGATGTTCGCTCGCGTTTAGGCATCCTCACAAAGGTGCGGGGTAACGGGAGAGGGGGATTTAAGCGCAAAGGTGGAAGGAGTGGAAGGCGGAGAGGTAAAGGGGAAAAGAGGAGAGGAACAGGAGGGACGGCGTTTGTTCGATTAGTGCACACTGAAGGAGACCGTGTTGGTATCGACACGGAACAGGCCCAGAATTACAAATCTTTAGGCGGCAGATGATCCTCGGAAGGCGGGCCCAATGAGGACGTGCCGCAAGGTAAACATACAGACACACACACAAATGCCTGAAGTTTCTTTAGCCAAATTGGATGATAAAAGAAAATGCGCTATTGAAGTTTCAGGGTGAAACTTCGACCTCCTTAATTATCAGCCCCAGCCACTGGCTTTGTGTGGGCTACAAAAGGAACAGTAGCCTCTCCCCACAGCTGTTTATCAGCCTCCACGGACGGCCCAAGATATTTTCCACTGAAGCTGTCAATACAGAAAGGAAACAAAATCATATATATTTGATTTTTTCCCCATTGCAGATAATGGGCAGAAGATCAATAAAGGACAGAAGGATTCCTGGAAGCCCCCACACAAGCGGTCTGGACGCACACACGACGTCGATGCTGAAATGTTCCACCGCTACATACATTTGTTGTCCTAGTTAGGCATCTAAAGAAGAATACGGCGCTTCTGCTCCCCAAATTTTCCCGTAGCCTTGTTCGGAGCATCGCAGAACCGCTCCCGGTGTTGCGTTATGTGAAAGCGTTGGAGGATGTAAACGGTGTGTACACGTTCATGGTCTCTAAGCATGAGAACTATGTCTTGCGTTCAGTTGATTGGAACAGGTATAACTAGTGAGGCTAGTCCAGCACTTGCCAATGTGGGAACTTCGAGCCTGTAAGCGCGCGGTAATAGTAGAATTCCAGTCTCAGCGAGGAGACACTTCTGGCGCCAATGCCCTTATAAAACCTCATACACATACATTGAGTTTCATTCCGGTAGGGCATTGCCTTCTGAATACCCTCTCTTTTCTGGGTTCATGGATGAGGGAAACCGCGAGAGGAAGGGTTTTTGAACACCCCAACGTGTACGTCTGGTTGCACATAGCATCCAGTGCACATGCAAACAACATGTATTCATGTTGTATTGAGCTAAATTTACTTTGCAACAATTAAGCTTTTTGTACAGTCCACCGAGCGATAACCCGGCGGAATGCGATCCAGCCCTTTATACGCTACCCAGACCCAGAGGCCTTGACTCCGGGCCCTTTAGTGAGGGTTTATCTTCAAGTAGACCTGTAGACACTGTGAGCTCCACTGTCTAGAGATCTGAAGCATTGCGGTATTTGGCTTGGTCGCAGCGCGTGGTCGCGTGTGACAAATCAAAGGCATGTGACTCTTGGCTGGACATTGGCTCTGGCTCATTGCCCTTCCCGCTTTCTGAGTTCTCTCGGCATGCCACAGCGGACAGTCTAAAAAATTTTCGTTTTACATATACTCGTTAATAGCATGAAATGATGCTGGCATTCATGCCAGGTAGCCCAGAAAACTTCTGGCCGCGGGGCAAATGTGGAAGGATAAAAACCGCCTAGGTCCGTACGTCTGCGATTTTTGACTGAGATACACAGAGGACTGTCAAAGGGCCCAGGCGTTTAGACTTGAATACCGATTAGTGCGAATCGCCGCGGGTCTTCTGCCGCGCCTTATGCAGTGTACGTGAAAGGATTTACTGGCTCCAGTCTGGTGTCCCTTCTCAAACTATAAATGATACAGCAAAAGAAAAACCTGGACGGTTTGCGCGCAGCTACTTCTGCTGCTGCACTATCGTTCAAAGGATACGAAATCTTGGTCGCTCCCCCTTCAATGTTTGCCAAATATCTTTATATTGTCTGTGGTATATGATGCACAATTTTGTGACTTTCGGCTCTAAACGGCTATCTAGGTTTCTGCCCGCCGCCAGCGTGAAGGAAAGGGGTAAGGGTTGCTTGTCTTTGGTTGTGCATAAACAGCGCAACCTGCTTAGTCAGTGTGAAGCACTATATCCTTGCGTGCTGAAGTGTCTAGAGAAAGCAGATGCAGTAAGCGCAGCAGCAAGCATATTGTTTGAAATCAAGTTTGGTGTCAGCGGGCTTTACAATGGTGACGTTCCAAGTAAATTAAGGGCGCCTGAAGTTTGACAAAGCCCCCAACATGCCAATTGGCCCCTCAGTCTACATAACTGGGTTCGCCTGTGGAACACACTCTTTTTCTATCCCCCAGCCCTGTACAGGGCCTCACTGTGACTTCCTTCTTGCTTATGCCGATGCCACCTGTGAACGTAGGTCTTTAAGATTTGAGCCGGAGGATAGGGCACCCCCGACACGAGCCCTCTCCTGTCTTTGGGTCGCCACTTATTGTCGTAGCGCCTCAGGGGAGCCTCACACACCTTCTGAAGGTTAAATCCTGGCTGACGTAGCAAATTCAAAGCTTTCTCCGGATTATAATCTGCCACATGCAGCAGCTGAAGTGCAAATTCTGGAGAGAAAGGAAGGCCTTCCCGGACCTTAGACCCCGCAGAGGGAGCCCAAGAGGCGGCTGCATGAGCTAAGTAGCGGTCCAAATCCTCTTCGCTGCCCACGAAGGAACCTAAATCCGCAGCCTGAGACAATCCTGTACAGATTTTTCCGCAGCCTGTTGTGCTTCCCTCCTGGACTGTTGCTGCCGCCGCGGTCCGTGCAGCAGCAACACGCAGCAGTGCGCCTGCTGAATAAACCAGCCTCGGTCCGTTGGGGCTCTCTCCCTCGATGTCCAAGGCGGGCGCTTCCAGGTCTTCGGCAGACAGTGATGATTCCCCCTCGTCGGCAGTCAGGAAGAAGGGAGGCAGATAAGGGGCCTGAAACTTAGGTCCTACATTTATCTTACATACGCTGCTGTTGGCGGTGGTGACTCTCCGCCTCCTCCGACTCGGAGAAGGACTAAGGGAGTTGGAGCGAGATCTCAGCTTGGCTGAGCAAGGCACTAACAGGCCTGGGCTTGAGGCCCTCCTACGGGTAGCCCCCTGTGGTCCCCTGTCGGCTGGGGCTGGGAGCCCCTTCTGGCTTGCTACTAGCGTTTTTTCCTCGAGATGTGCTGGCAACAGGGAGGAAGAATCGAGGGGAGCCACTGGTTCCTTAAAAGATGTCGTTACTGGTGCTTCATCGACTGATTCTGCTGTCGCTGTCAGAGCAAAAACTGCACTGGCTGTGTCCTTGTCAGGCTCTCCAGGCCCCGGATTGGATGCAGCAAATACCCCTCCACCCGGCCACGTCATCATGGCCTGGTTCACGTCCTTGCGCGACAAGGCCCTATGATGTACCTTCTGGAGTTTGTCTGCAGGTTATGGGCCGCTACATATGTGCACAAACTTTAGGGGGACAAAGGTCCCCTTTTTGTCCTTCCTTGAGTATAAAGTTGAGCAGCAATCTCACACTTGAGTTGCATCTGGAGCTGTTGAACAGAGTGTAGGGTTTAATTATGTGGCGTTGGCGCTTGGCCCCGTGAGCTCGACGCTTGAGAAGAGTCGATTGTTGCGGCTTCCCTTTCGAGTTAGCGCCCTTTGCTGCTTCTCCCACCTATTTGACAAACTCTTTGGTCGCAAAAGCACCAAAGCCGTGGGATGTGCAGGATAGAGAGCTTCAAAGGCCCTCTCGGGAGGGACTCGGATGCCGTGGTTTTGGGCTGGATTGATCTAGAATTCGGGGCCCTTGCAGATTCTTGGGACCACAATGAAGTACACGAGCCAATTCAAGATCAAACTTACAAACTTATAGATTTGACAAAAAAAGTAAGTTCACCGCATAATAAAGGAAAGCAAAAGCCGGCGACACTGGGCCAGAATATTGTTCATATCCGTTCAGTGAGCGGCGGGCGGATAGCAACATTCCGAACCTTCCACTGTCGCTTGTATAAGGCCCCATTTCTTCATCACATTTTCTCTTTTTGAGCTTCCCTTCCTTCCCTGTTTTGTCTTACGAGAGGGAATAGCAACACAAACCACAAGCAGAGGCCTGCAGGGCCCTCCGCTATACGGGAAGCCTAAGAACTACCAGGTACTGCATTTCACACAGTCGCACACAACTTCGCATTGAAACATTCCCCTTCCCCTTTATTAATCTAGCCATGATTCTGGTGTACGTGCACATCATGCTTTCCCTTGACTGCAGTTCACTGTTAAAATAATCATTGCTTTTGCAGCCTCCTTCACGCTCCCTAGTCAATGGATTATTGCGGTTCAATCTTTCCGTTAGGTAAGCCACTTAGAAACCCATCTTAAACAATGCTTGTCGTCCAGCTTCTACGGCAGATTGGGGCTCATGGGGCTTTCTAATTTGGGCTCTGGAGGCTCATGCTGCAAGCTAATGCAAGCTGGGCTATGCAGGAAAGGCCCAACTTTAACAGCTCCCTGGGGGTAATAGCCGAGCTATCCCTATTCTCGCGTTATACTCGTGATGAGGGGCCTCAGTGGCTCGTGTAGCAGGCTAGGCTAAATTTATTTTACGCTCCATATAGTGTCTCCATAAGGGGGGTTTAAATCCAGACTCACCGCAAACCTGACAAAAAGTGAAGCGTTTTCCTACCTTTACATGCTAGCAGAGCGACAGCCAAAATGCGCGTAGCTCTAGCCTTCATGTGTTGAATCCAGCATCTTATTGGAAACAAACAAGCATATGTATACACACACACACACAACATTGAGCCTCGTTACATAAACGTAAAGGACCAATGCAATAAATTACACACGGAAAAGCCAAATAATTACTGAGTTGTTCAATAATTCCTACCGGACGTTTATGTAGTCCATCAGAAGGTGTTTAAGGGTGGCTCATACATCCGGGGCATGTAGCCTAGATTTGTTCAAAGCTACAAGCGAGGAGTGAGGAAGATAGGAAGGACACAAAACTCGCGAGTGCTTGTCCATAAATATGTGTGTAGACAGTACCTCTACAATAATAAACAAGAAATCTTTGAGCAGCTCCCGTTGCTGGGGGTAATCATTCCAGCCAGAGCACGCACTGGGGAACGACACTTGTCCAGGAGCGCGAGGAATTCCGTTCCTAGCGACTAGCGTTGTGAACTAGACAGACCCCATAACCATGCGGTGGCAATAAACCCGCACTTGCTCCTTTTTCAACCACTGCGGATAACTGTTCCCACCACGCATCAAGAAAAGCTTCCGTCCAGTGTGCCTTTGGCGCTCAACAGCTATAAAATCGAGCACTGCGACGGCTCCCTGCGCACATTAGCCTCCGCACGGATTGATTGCCTGTGCAGCAAAGTCCGCGAATAAATGGGTCAGAGTTGAAAATTTTGAACAAAGCCAGTTTTTAAAGCTTTGCGGCATTTCCTACTCTTAGGGTAATTGCTGAAGTAACAAAGAGTGTTAATTCGTGCATGCGGCGCAAATGGTCGTAGACAGCTGGCCGCGAACGCCTTTCTAGAGTCACCTTCTATTCCATAGAGTGTAGCCTGCCCGTGCATCAAAACCAAATTTTCGTGCTCGAATAATGCAGCCACTTGCCACGTATCGCAATTCCGTGCTTCTCTCTTAAGCTGTGTGCATACATTCACCTGCAGTAGCCAAGTGTTCTCTGGATTTTTCATCCACCTACAGTGGCTCCTGGCATTCGACCACAAAGGGTAGGCTCGTATCCGAGAGAGGCATGTAGGTGTAGACCAGGATGGGGGGTGGCAACGGGTGTGTGAGTGCACGGTTGTATTTTGGACCCACTCAGCACTACAAAAACAACTCAAGCCAAGCAATTGAATTCTTGTGAGCATAGAGACGCAGTTCCGCATACGAATGTGGTTAGTGTGCGCTGTCTGCCCTGCTGCCTCACGGTGGTTCGTACTGATCATTATGGTCAATGAGTAGGCGTGTCATCTGTTGAGGGCAAGCCATAATAAACTTACGAATTTCGGGTTCCCGATTCGTAATGATACTCCTGGGAAAGCTATGAATCTTTCAAATAAAAGCTACTAATATATGCGCAGCATTGTGAGCTTTGATAGAGCTGGATCAGGAAAGATAAGATGGAAATGTGCACGTTTGCAGAGTCTGTTGATTGCGACGTAGATGCTGTCCTCACACGTGACCTCCGGTAGTCCAACAATTAAGTCTAAAACCAAAGCAGTCCAATTCCTTTAGGTCCTGAGTGGCTAAAAATACGGAGTTGGGAATGGTGCACGGTTCCAGTTTTTGATATCCAGGGAATGACAGTGCATGTTCCTATACCGCGTCATTCGTCCAAAGCCACCGAGAAGACTGTGAGAGCATTCAAGCAGCATTACGAATTTCACCATGCCCTGAAAGCGGGGGATCATAAGCGTTGTGCATTTTCAGTGCGGAATGATGTCCTTGTGAAGTCCCGACTTTGTTTTGAACTAGCAGGCCATCCTCAATGTGGTCATGCCTCACCCTTGTGCAATTCCTGATCTAGCAACAGTATCGGATGCAGGGGTATCAAAAACAAAAGCTCCACACGTCGTACGAGACAAAACCGTAGATATTTAGAGATCCGAGCGGTTGCGCTGCGCAAGAGTGAACCTCTGGGGAGTCGCCAGAGTGCGTCGGTGACCACACTGGCGATACCCGCAATATACATTACTGTAAAGCCGTACTGCAGTAAACGCGGTAGCTAGCGAACAACTCTGGAAAAATCGAAAACCCTAAAACCCTCCATAGTCACCTCAAGGATACGTGGTCGTTATGAAAAGTATAAGACCGGCCATATAAACGATGTCGGAATTTTCCAAGCCCCACCACAACGCATAGAGTTTTTTTCAAACGGAAAATCGCTGCTCGGTATCGGTGCAGCGAAGAGGACAGCAAACAATAGTGTGGCGTGGTATATAATTTGCAGCTTGTTGGGAGGGAATAGCACTTATCGTTTCGTCACAAGCATCGGTAGTAGGGAAGAAATGACGCTTACATTCTAGCAGAGCAACTACAAAAGGGGTTAAAGGCGGGCGATAGGAGCTGTGCCGCGGTGTTTGCCTCGTCATCCAGGTCACAAACCGCGCTGTTTGGAGTAAACAAGCTAAAGAAGCAGCAATGCGAGCAAACGCAGGAATGGAACTGGTAATTGTATTTAGGTCCATTGAGCTCTGCAAAGTCCTTGCAGGTGTACAAGGGAAAGGGTCACCCTGTGAACGCTTCGATTTTGATCGGATATGGCTTGAATCCTGCAGCCAAAACACATAATTCTCAACCCACAATTGTTCTAGAGAAAAACGAACACCTCCGTGCCTTCACATACCAGTGCTTTTTGCGCAGGCTCTGGAGTACATGCGTCGGTTCCATTAGCCCTATACCATCAGCTTCCCTGAGAGAGCCTTTCTGCTGTGGTTTACTTGGTAACGCAACTCCCTGAGCGCTTTGGAAATGGGCTAAAAGCGCTCCTCCGATGACGGATGCTGATGATGACACAATTCGTGTTTGAGCGGCTGAGTGGGCCGTGTAAGCTGGTGTAAAATTACTACTTCCACGGCTGGTGAACAGGCATGATTGGTCAGCAAATACAGTGTTTATGGATCTGTCGATTTATTTGTGCACATTAGAAAAGTATGCCGGCTGCACGGATGACCAGGCACTTGTTTCATCAGCCGTTACGTGACACATCGACTTTGGTTTCTCCCCAGTCCACAAAACTAGTACTTCTTCTGGCACGTACAATAGACTAGGCAAACAGTGACGTCATTCGTACAGATGAGTTCGTCGATCTTGAGGGAATGTTACAGCTAAAATTTCTGTACAAACTCTGACTCACCGGTTTACAATGAGACAAGCTCAACCGCAGCCTCTGAAAGGACTGAGAAAGCTACAGCACAGAAATCTGCCACGGAATCATTATACTGAAACTAAGGAAGTTCGGTGTGCAAAAGCCACAACTTAGACGAACAGCTACTGAGTCAGTGGTTTATATCAGTTCTACCCGAGATGCCACTTCGGGTGGTCGCAGTTTGGGCAGCTACTATTTAACAACCCACCAGCAAGGCTTTAACAATAGCTGAAGTACTCTTAGCTTCGGAGCATATAAGCTCTGGCCGAGTGTTCAGCTGCAAATGAAAAACTATAGGTATTTTGAACCTGTAGATCTAGGGACAGTGTCAACCAGCTTGTAGCCTACAGCCAAAGGTGGAGGACAAGAGGATGGGGAAATCCTAAGCAAAGCACCCAGGCAATACAGTCAACTAGAGTACAGCCAGTTCCAAAGCCAAGAGGTGATTGCCCAACAGTAATTAGCCCTTCGTACATTCAGGGAAACCCAAAGCTTGCATTTTTAGCTGTGCCACTCCCACGACACCACAAACCACCTAGAGCTGCTTGTATACTGCTTGAACTGGTGTGTATACGCTAATCAATACCAAAGTAGAGGTATTTTTGTCCACGCTGACGTCGGACGGAGACGCCTGTGCGCAGTGGTCGACGTTTCTCCATAGCCTGACAGAATAGCGAGGTCTTGAGCACAAAAGACCATCCAGGAGATAAAACGCATAAAATCTGGTCGACTGCATGGGTGACAACTGGAAATCATAATTCTGTCACTTTAAGTTTTAAAGCACATCCTGTACAGCTCCCAAGAAGGCAATTCCCACACTCAAACCGAGACCATGACAGCGATCCAGGTTGTCGCAGGAGATCTGGCCTCCAGCGTTGTTTTCGTTCAGTAAGAATGCGAAGGTGCAGCGAGACAACTCTAAACAGCCAATAAGTCCCGTTTTGCCTTTTGATCCTGAATATAAGCCTGTCCCCTCCTTCGCCCGGCTGCTCCGGTGTCGTGGGGCTGTGTCGCAGAAAGGAGAAAGTGCCGTCCAACAGAAGGGAGTCACTTATCTGCCATCTTTTTCTCTTTTTAAAGGAGAAGTACAGCTTTCTTAGAGCTCTTTTGCTCGTCGCTTCAGTGTGCCCTTCCCATCTTTCATTTCTATTGTCTGCCTTGGGGGGCATCCAGTAGAGTTGCTCGCTTCCTTTCCCCGAGTTTCTTTCTTTCGTATATTCCTACCGTTTTTGTCTTCTATCCTCTTTCCCTCGCCTTCTGATGCCGGAGAGGCAGACAAGCAGAGGGGAGGGAGGGGTGAAATCCCCAGAGTCTGTCCCCGGCGTGGCAAAATGTTTGTCGTTGAACAGCCGGGGCTCAGTGGTGCTGCCAGAAGATCCTCATCCCGGCGCTCCCTTCGAGTGTTCTGTACTACCAGAGCTAGGAGAGTTCGTGTTACAGCATGCGGCAAAGCTTGCTCAGCGTGGCATTAACGTAACGGAACTGAACAGCATCTTCACTTCGATCAAGCTGGCTGCTAAAGTTGTAAATAGGATCATCACCAGACAGGGCACATATGGACTCGATGGTGAGGCTTAGGAACACTTGATCAAGGAGGAAGAAAACAGCGGTTTTTTTTGCTGTTGCACTTTTTCTCCGAGTCCCATCATGAGGCCTAGCCATCTCATTTTTTTCGCCCATCCAGTAGCCTGCGCTTGCCGGGTTGTCTGCCACGCATTATTTTTCCCCAGTATCTCGTAATTGTCTCGCTGCAAGATTGTGCCCCTCCATTTCATACTTTCTAATGCCACAGAAGACCCTAGCATATTTCTCTGCCTACCCGGCCTTGACACCTTTCAGGTTTTGGCACTCTCTAGATCCTCTAGATTCTTATGCTGCTTATGCTTACCTTGTTCACCGCCTACCTCTCGTGTGCACTTGTTTCCCATGCGTACGTCATCAGCCGCCTTTCGTCTATCTTTTTGTTCACTTTCCCGATTAGGCATCCTCTCTCTAATCCGTATCACATACACCCCAATTTACGTCTCAATCTTTTCTACTTTGGCTGTCTTCCACTATATATAACACTTGCTGCCTTCATCTGCTATTTGGGTAGCCTCGTTTTCCCTTTGTTTCATGCCTGAGTCATGTCGTGCTTAATTACTAAGCTACTTTTCCTGTCTTATGGATTCATTCTTTGCGTGGTTACCTTGTCTTTCATCTTTACTATGTGTTTTCTTGCCCTGCAGAGCTTTCAGTGAAGATGCCCACAGAGGACGTGGCAGATTTGCGGCCGTTGGCACACCGCACTTTTGTGGATGCCATCATCAACAGACAGGGGGCAGCTGGACTTGCTAACATTGTCGATGGAAACTTTACTTCGTGTGAAGGTTGTGAAGACAAGGTCAGCTGATGGCTCAGGGGTGAACGCGAATTGTCGACTGAGGACTTTAGTGCTTATGCCACAATATTCTGGGACAATCTGTGCTTGCCCATCTGAGCCTTCCCTAGTCAGTCTGTCCTATTCGGCATCCCACTTTTAATCTTTTTTGTTTCGTTCTCGCTCCTCATGCATCCACATGTGTATCTGTTGCTCATTATCCTTCGTACTTATTGGTGGTTCCCCATCTGCCCTCCTGTAGCCCTCTCCAAGTCACTCCCTATATAAGACATCGCCGCCCGGTACTCAGTTTCCTTCTTCCCCGATCTATCAGCGCCGTGTATCTTCCTTCGTTTGCTTCTTTTATCTAGGCACTTCCTTCTTCATCGTGTTTTTGTCTTTCTGCCCAGAGTTTAGTCGTGCTAGTGACCCCGTTGGACGGCACTCGCCAGATTGACGTTAACGTCTCTTCCGGTTCCCTCTTCTCGGTCTACAAGAGAATCTCTCCAGTGGGTAGCCCAGTGACCAGGGAGGACTTCCTGCAGGCAGGAGAAAAGCAAGTGGGCCGCTCACGCTGAACTACACGACCTAGATTACTAAGTGTTCGGCCCATAAATCTAATCGGCCACGCGCATCTGGGACCTGTATGCTTTTCACATGTACCAGCATGGCATCTGGTTGTAGGCTTTCTCGTTTGCGGCTTAGGTTTGCGCGGGGTATGTGCTCTACGGCTCGTCTACAATCCTAGTGTGTACTCTGGGAAGCGGCGTACAAGGCTTCACTCTAGATCCTTCTCTTGGCACCTTCTACCTCTCTCACCCCAACATAAAAATGCCCGAAAGGGGAACCATCTACTCTGTCAATGGAGGTAAAATGGCAAGGTTTCCCGTCGCTGTCAGGCAGTACATTTCTCATTGTCAAGACAAGGGATTTTCGTGCAGATACATCGGTTCGCTAGTCGCAGGTGGGTTACGACTTTAAGCTAGGACCTACAATATGGGTTGGCATGCGGGAGTCGAGGCTAAGAGCTAAAGTTGATCGGCGAGTAGAGGCTATGCTTTCTGCTGGCATGTTGGAAGGAGTAGCTGTGTGTGGATCACAGCAGTTGGGGCATTGATGCACACTAATGCCAATATATATGCTTTGTAAAAGTGTTTCTTCTGGAGGGCTTGTCTGGGTTTTGTAGATTTTCACAGGAACATGCTGAAGGGAGGAATATACATTTATCCTCCAACCTTTGCTGATCCCTTGCCGTCGGTCAACATGGTATTTCAGTGTTTTCCCCTGGCGTTCATCGCGGAGCAGGCTGGGGGGCGGGCAAGCGACGGCTTCACGAGGATTCAGCTCATTGAGCCAGTCTCCTTCCAAGATCGTATTGCCTTTTTCTGCGGTAGCAGTCATCTCGTAGATGTACTCAACTTCTACATGGCAAAGAACAAACTCCGAGATGGAGGGTGGTGCTTCCAAAGCCCTCATAACCGGTCGTAGTAAATTTGCGCCAGAATATGCTCACCCTAAGGGGTTGACGAGGGCTATCTCCCTACTGACGAGCTTTTATAACACATGGAGCAAATGGCCAGGAGGCCTCATCTGACTTTTCCTTGGGGCCTCATCACCGCGACTGCAGATAATGCGCCAAGGGGCTCCCACTATGTGGGGTTCTTAAGAGACCCCGGTATCAATGGGTTCCCAGCGGTTTACCACGCATGGAAACTCTCGGGGTCAGAGAGTGTCGTGCTTCTGTCGGCGGTTCAGTCCTTAGTGGCACCTTTGCGCCTTTTCTGCTTTTACTCACAATGACGGAATTTCTTTGGGCTGCAGTAGTGCAGCCTGAAGGCCACCAAGGCGCTCAGTTTCGCTCAAGTACGTGGGTACCTCGCACTTGAGGGAGGCGGCGGTACACTGCGGCAGCCCCTGCGAATGGCCTCCGTGTAATATTGTATTTTTCTCATATGTTCTTTAGCAGCTGCCGGCTGATGTGATCTTCCATCATGCACATTTCTACGAATATGTATCTGATACCTTAGGTAGGCGTGATAGGTGCACTTGTACAACAAAGGAGTAGGCATAGGCTCGAAAAATTGAGTTTTTCATAGGTATATCTCTGCCTTCATAGATGTATCAATACCGAGGCTATGCCTGGCTCAAGCGAGGCTCTCGCACCTGCCCGTAAAAGTGCCCTGAGCTGTTATTACTCCTCCTAGAGTATTTGTAAGAGATCTGCGCTCCACAGATCCTACGAAGCTTGAAAGAAAGCTATATGGTACTTAAGAGAGCTGCCATTTCCCCTTTACGCTTGCCGCACAAGATTCTGAGAGCGAGGAGAGAGAAAGAGCAGCAGTACGAGTAATAGTTCCCTCCGGAACAACGAAGGCATCCTCATGCAGTTGCTTTGCGCACAGCTCCACGACAGAGAAGATGTCTTGTATCGTCGGGTCAATTCCACCACAAATTGAATGGAAGAATGGGAAGACTGCTCATTCAACGCTTCCTAACTTTGAGTATGTAAGTGCAACGCTGCATGGGAGATCTCCATAGGGACACACTAAATTCCAGACTCAATCCAAGCTAGTCGAGGGTGACCTCGTGCTTTTCAGAAGAATTCTAGCCCTTTCGCGCCCCCCATAGTCGTGGTCGCGGGAGTAGGGGGACGGCCAGGGTAGAGTATCTGGCCCCTTTAAGCAATCTGAGCAATCACAGCTAGCTACACATAGGATCTCCCGCACATGCATACACGCACAACGCAGTACTGCGCAGCAACGAGATGTTCAAGCAGACAAACCAATCGTTTTACCAATTACTTGCTAAACCGAATTGGCGTCGTACAAAGTGTTTAGGTGCAGCTTGGACCGCTCTAGCTCCCCTTGACACTTCAAACTACCTGCCTTTCGTGGTCCTTAGGTGTTCGTCCAGGCCACCTGCGTCTGAGAGCGGAATATTTCATGCCCTATCGCCACCCCGCAGGGCGAGCGAAGCGAGAAAATAAGTGTAAATGGGGGAAAATGAGAGATGTAGAGTGTATGTAAGTCAATATAAGAGAATCGAAGTGGACAAAGCCATGCATATTAGCAAAAAAGGAGTCAGGGACAAATCGAAGACAATTGCAGCAGCGCGCTGGCTCGCTGTCGTTGGAGCGCTCACAGTTGTGAGTCTCCTTGTGCTGAAACCCACAAGACAACTAGAATGTGTTTAACATTTAAAGTACGCACTACTTAAGCGGTGCGTCCATCCCCCATACAGCGATTTGTCCGCGCAACTGCATCCGGGACATGTAGCCTAGATTTGTTCAAAGCTACAAGCGAGGAGTGAGGAAGATAGGAAGGACACAAAACTCGCGAGTGCTTGTCCATAAATATGTGTGTAGACAGTACCTCTACAATAATAAACAAGAAATCTTTGAGCAGCTCCCGTTGCTGGGGGTAATCATTCCAGCCAGAGCACGCACTGGGGAACGACACTTGTCCAGGAGCGCGAGGAATTCCGTTCCTAGCGACTAGCGTTGTGAACTAGACAGACCCCATAACCATGCGGTGGCAATAAACCCGCACTTGCTCCTTTTTCAACCACTGCGGATAACTGTTCCCACCACGCATCAAGAAAAGCTTCCGTCCAGTGTGCCTTTGGCGCTCAACAGCTATAAAATCGAGCACTGCGACGGCTCCCTGCGCACATTAGCCTCCGCACGGATTGATTGCCTGTGCAGCAAAGTCCGCGAATAAATGGGTCAGAGTTGAAAATTTTGAACAAAGCCAGTTTTTAAAGCTTTGCGGCATTTCCTACTCTTAGGGTAATTGCTGAAGTAACAAAGAGTGTTAATTCGTGCATGCGGCGCAAATGGTCGTAGACAGCTGGCCGCGAACGCCTTTCTAGAGTCACCTTCTATTCCATAGAGTGTAGCCTGCCCGTGCATCAAAACCAAATTTTCGTGCTCGAATAATGCAGCCACTTGCCACGTATCGCAATTCCGTGCTTCTCTCTTAAGCTGTGTGCATACATTCACCTGCAGTAGCCAAGTGTTCTCTGGATTTTTCATCCACCTACAGTGGCTCCTGGCATTCGACCACAAAGGGTAGGCTCGTATCCGAGAGAGGCATGTAGGTGTAGACCAGGATGGGGGGTGGCAACGGGTGTGTGAGTGCACGGTTGTATTTTGGACCCACTCAGCACTACAAAAACAACTCAAGCCAAGCAATTGAATTCTTGTGAGCATAGAGACGCAGTTCCGCATACGAATGTGGTTAGTGTGCGCTGTCTGCCCTGCTGCCTCACGGTGGTTCGTACTGATCATTATGGTCAATGAGTAGGCGTGTCATCTGTTGAGGGCAAGCCATAATAAACTTACGAATTTCGGGTTCCCGATTCGTAATGATACTCCTGGGAAAGCTATGAATCTTTCAAATAAAAGCTACTAATATATGCGCAGCATTGTGAGCTTTGATAGAGCTGGATCAGGAAAGATAAGATGGAAATGTGCACGTTTGCAGAGTCTGTTGATTGCGACGTAGATGCTGTCCTCACACGTGACCTCCGGTAGTCCAACAATTAAGTCTAAAACCAAAGCAGTCCAATTCCTTTAGGTCCTGAGTGGCTAAAAATACGGAGTTGGGAATGGTGCACGGTTCCAGTTTTTGATATCCAGGGAATGACAGTGCATGTTCCTATACCGCGTCATTCGTCCAAAGCCACCGAGAAGACTGTGAGAGCATTCAAGCAGCATTACGAATTTCACCATGCCCTGAAAGCGGGGGATCATAAGCGTTGTGCATTTTCAGTGCGGAATGATGTCCTTGTGAAGTCCCGACTTTGTTTTGAACTAGCAGGCCATCCTCAATGTGGTCATGCCTCACCCTTGTGCAATTCCTGATCTAGCAACAGTATCGGATGCAGGGGTATCAAAAACAAAAGCTCCACACGTCGTACGAGACAAAACCGTAGATATTTAGAGATCCGAGCGGTTGCGCTGCGCAAGAGTGAACCTCTGGGGAGTCGCCAGAGTGCGTCGGTGACCACACTGGCGATACCCGCAATATACATTACTGTAAAGCCGTACTGCAGTAAACGCGGTAGCTAGCGAACAACTCTGGAAAAATCGAAAACCCTAAAACCCTCCATAGTCACCTCAAGGATACGTGGTCGTTATGAAAAGTATAAGACCGGCCATATAAACGATGTCGGAATTTTCCAAGCCCCACCACAACGCATAGAGTTTTTTTCAAACGGAAAATCGCTGCTCGGTATCGGTGCAGCGAAGAGGACAGCAAACAATAGTGTGGCGTGGTATATAATTTGCAGCTTGTTGGGAGGGAATAGCACTTATCGTTTCGTCACAAGCATCGGTAGTAGGGAAGAAATGACGCTTACATTCTAGCAGAGCAACTACAAAAGGGGTTAAAGGCGGGCGATAGGAGCTGTGCCGCGGTGTTTGCCTCGTCATCCAGGTCACAAACCGCGCTGTTTGGAGTAAACAAGCTAAAGAAGCAGCAATGCGAGCAAACGCAGGAATGGAACTGGTAATTGTATCTAGGTCCATTGAGCTCTGCAAAGTCCTTGCAGGTGTACAAGGGAAAGGGTCACCCTGTGAACGCTTCGATTTTGATCGGATATGACTTGAATCCTGCAGCCAAAACACATAATTCTCAACCCACAATTGTTCTAGAGAAAAACGAACACCTCCGTGCCTTCACATACCAGTGCTTGTTGTGCAGCTGCTGAAGCGCACGGCATAGGTGCTGTAAGTGCTCTTGCGCAACTTGGCTTCACACTAGCGCGTTGACCATGTAAACATTGTTACACATCTCCTTCACAGGCTCACGGAAGTTCCGATAAAGCCGATGTTGCAGCTGTGCTAAAAAATTAGCAAGGAACAAGGCATGCAGGTGTTATTGAGTTTGTGTATGCGAGTGTTGCATGCCGTTTCGTGATTGTCATCAAGGTGAATATGGGTTTGTGAAAGGACACCGTGGATAACATATGTCGAGCGGACCGTTGCTCCGTGTATTTTGTCAAGTGATTCTTTAAGATGAGGCATGTGAAACTTGTGCTTCACATTTCTCTTGTTTGTCGGCTTGACGTTAGCGCACCAAGCCACCGTTCATCCTTGCTCCCTCCAACACCGGAGAATACCCAGAAGCGGTGGTCAAGTCCAAAGCTTTGCCTTTAAACAAATACTTCGCTTAAAACTCAATTGCCTTCTCGTACTTTGGAGGATACCGAAGCCGCGGAATAAAACTTGCGGCCGACTGGGAAATCAGGCTAATCCGGTGTGTTGGACGACTAGCAGGTGCCTACCCTGCTGCCAGCTCGTCGTAAATTTAGAGCTTTGGCGAACACCTTCCAGATAGCTGTTCATGCTTACTGTTCTCACGCTGAATATGAGAGTAAAGTGCCAAAAATAGAATCAGTCGGACAGAATCTAGTGCTCTTTGCAATCTCAGAACCGTCCTCTCACTGCATTGCTGCGCCACCCGTATGACGACTCTGCCTCTACTTGTTGAGACTGTTCTTCTACCTGAGTGATTGCGGAGATAATGAGCGTTATTGATGCGCCCAGCGGCGGCTTTCAAGAGCGCGTTCTGGTATAACAACCTTCAGCGAGCCCAGCTGCCGCCAAATGCGCGCCTTTTATTAGGTCACCCATGGCGTATGTAGGATGTAGTTAGGAAGCACGAGTTCAACATGATAGTCTGGGACCAAGCTGATAGGTCAGAATTACGATCTAACCTGAACTTCAACTAACACGTCCTTTCCATTCCTTGGGTGCTGATACCTGCCAGCAAACCTGATTCTTTGTTGCGAATGAAAAGGCAGCTTGTGCTTCTACGTTGTGTCCACAGATAGCAGATCCACATTGCATTTAATAGCTAGGAGCACTAGCAGTTTTAGTTCATTTATTTGGACTTGCATAAACGCAGCCATGCTGGGACCCTAGCTGCAGCTACCTCCTCCGTAGCCCCTCTCACTGCGCCGTAGCCTGATTGGGGGCTTTCCGTTTTGCTTAATACACCTTCTGTGCTTGTCACGCAGCCCGACCTCGCTAGGTCCAATTCCACCGTTTAAATTTTGGCTATTTGCGTAGGTTTACAATTCCGTGCTATATGACCCACCACTCCACCATCAAAGCAAATGCATTATTTGGGCTGGCTTGGGACTGCATAAAGAGCTTGTTTCGCCTTAATTTCATTTTTCACCGTAGAATTTATGCTATGTCTGGTTAACACCGGTCCGATATGCATATGCTCCAAGGCTCGATCCAAATTCTCCTTTGCAGCGAATGACGCAGGTGTTGAGCTCAGCTGCCACTAAACTTTCAAGAACTCATCCTTCGCTACAGCCTTAGCGGCTGGCTGCTCAATCGTTGAGTCACCGTCCATCGTGGGACCATTTAAAGTGGCATTTCGCTTAGATCGGACATAACCCACTGATCTTTCCACCTTTCCGCCTACGTTGTGAGTTTGCA